AAGCACTGGTGACCGTGCTCAAGTACTGGCCGCACAGCTGCAGCATCTCTTCTGCTGACGAGTCCTTGGGCTTCCGAGGCAAGGTGCAAGTGTCGAATCCCCATCTGCGATGGTCTGGCCGAGCGATGACGTAGTGCAGAGTGAGTTTCGCCAGCCGTTCCTGGTCCAGAGTCTGCTCCGCCCATTGATCGGCATCTAGGTAATGCCAACAGTCCTGGTAGTTGCGACTCCAGTAGCCACCCAGAATGACCGCCGTATCCTTGGTGTCCTCGCCGAGGAAGCCCGGGCATTGCTCGGCAGCAGGGCTCCACACAGTCTCATCCACCATGATGTGGAGCCTCTGTGACACTGCCCGTAGGTGGCGGGCAGCGGTGTTGTAGGCTTGAGCCAGCTGCACGTCGCTGGACAAGGAGCCAAAGGCTTTAGGCAGAAGGTTGTGATCCAGCGAGAGTCGAGGGACGGCTCGGGGATTCACCCCAAACCGTCGGATCAACTGGTCAATCTCCGAACGCCTGCCTAATGTGGCCAGTGCATCAGCCATGGCCCCAACCTCGGTGAGATGACGACTGCTGTGAGGCCGATGCAATGCGTCCTTGGAACGAAGCAAGAACGATGTCACCAACTGCTCGATGACGGCATCTGTCCTGAGACCCCCTGCTGCCACTCGGGCAGCTAGGTCGAGCTCACCCTGTCGAGTTTTGCCCTCTTGAACTGCGGAAGCCAGTGCATTGCTGAGGGCGGTGTGGGCTTGCATCTGCACGTCACCGTCATGAAAGAGGCTGGTTGTGGTGAGGTAGTTCTTCAAGTACAGCTTCAGTGCATCGCTTTTCCTCCAGGCTGGTGTCGTGTCGAATCGTGAGCGGATGCGACGCACCAGCGGGAGCCCGGTGCCGGGATTGACGAGGTCATCCAGAGTCTGCCCAGCAAAGCCCAAGACGTAGTAGTCCTTGGACCGGATGTCGGAGATGAAGCTGTGCACATCCTCAGGGGTTGCATGAGCTGCCTTGTGCGCCAGTTGGATCAAGTCGACGTCGAAGGCTTTCTGGGTCAGAGCTCGAAGCATCCTCTTGTCCCGTGCCTGGTTTAGACACTCAATGCATGCCAGCTCCCGCACACAGCGTTCTCGCTTGCAAGACTTGGCTCGTAGCTTGATCTCCGGGTGCATTTCCAAGATCACATTGCCAAGCGGATCCTGCTCTTTCTCCGAATAAACGGTTCGAGGCTGACCCGCATAGCAGAAGCTCTTGATCGCCTGCTCCACCTGGCACAACGGTGTCCCAGGCTCGCTGAGGGACACACCATGACAGACATGACGATCCTGGACTCGGGGTGCGTCTTGGATGGCTGGCAGGTCCTCTTCCACTGCATCATCCACTGCCTCGCCTCCCACATCACCCACCACCTGACCGATCTGGCGAAGTT